TTGTACGGGAAATTCTCAGGTTTTTATGGGAAATTTTAGGGTTTTTTTATGGGAAATTCTCAGTTTTTTGGGGGAAATTGTAGGGGATTGTACGGGAAATTTTCAGTTTTTTATGGCAAATTCCAGGGTTTTATGGGAAATTTTAGGGGTATTTATGGGATATTTTGTGGCTTTTAGGGATTTGGGGAGGGATTTGGGATCTGGTTTCCAAAATCTTGGGATCTCTGAGATGTCTTCACTAATTTTGGGTCTGGATTTGGGATTTTTGGCTTTCATTTCCCACCATTCAGGATCGGGATCTCCGAGATTCCCTTGCTGGATTTGGGGAGGGATTTGGGATTTTCTTTCCCAGGGATTTGGGATTTTGGCTCCAGAATTCCCGTTTTTTCCCCCAAAAGCTGGAGCAGGTGACGTTGGAATCCCAGAGCTCGCTGGCGGCGCTGCGCTCCCAAATGGAGGAATTCCGGGAAAAATCCCGTCGGGAACTCACAGATTCCCAAAAATTGGCCCAGGACCGGGGGGCCGAGGTGGAGAAGCTCCAGGAGAACATCGGGAAGCTCCAGGATGAGGTCGGGACAGGAATTTCAGACCCTTTTTCCCTTTTTTTTTTTTCTGGGAATGACCCCAAATCCCGAATTCCCAGGGAATGGCCCCAAAATCCTGGGAAAATGGGTGGGAATGACCCAAATCCTGGGAAAATGGGTGGGAATGACCCCAAATCCTGGGAAAAGGGTGAAATAGCCCAAAATCCTGGGAAAATGGAGCAGGAATGACCCAAAATCCTGGGAAAATGGGTGGGAATGACCCAAATCCTGGGAAAAGGGTGGAAATGGCCCAAAATCCTGGGGAATGACCCCAAATCTTGGGAAAATGGAGTGGGAATGACCCAAATCCCAAATTCCCAGGGAATGGCCCCAAATCCTGGGAAAATGGGCGGAAACGACCCCAAAATCCCGAGAAAAAGGGGTGGGAATTCTTGGAAATTCATTAATTCCCAGATTTTTCCCATCGGATTAAACCGTTTTCCCAGCAAATCCCTTTTCCTCTGAAAATCCCCTCATTCCCTTGGGAATTCTGTGCCTCAATCCAACCCTTTCCCACCCCAAATCCTGGGATCATTCCCAAATTTTTCCCCCAATTAAACCGTTTTTCCCTGGGGGATTTTGGGAATTTTTTGGGGAATTTTTTTTGGAATTTCGGGAATTTTGGGAATTCCGTTTTTCCCGCAGATTTCCAGGTTGAAGCAGGCGCTGGAGGAGAGTCAGGAAAATCGGGATAAAATCCTTTTGGATAAGGAGTTGCTCCTGCAGAGATTCCAGAACCTGGAGCAGGAGCTGGAGAGCAGAAAACGCTCCCAGGACGAGCGATCCCGGCATTCCAAAGCTCTGGAGGTGAGGCAGAATTCCTGGGGAAAAAAAAATAAATAAAATTCCCAGAAAAAAAATTTCCCGGAAAAAAAAATCCCCGGAAAAAAATTCCTAGGAAAAATGATGGAAAAAGTTTTTCCAGAAAAAATTACTAAAAAAATTTAAAAATAAAAATTCCAGCAAATTCCTTTCCCTTCAGAATTCCAGGATTTTCCCCTTTTCCACCCCAAATTCCTTCAGGATTTTTTTGCCCCAATCTGCCCCTTTCTTACCCCAAATTCTCGGGAATTCCCGCCCCAATCCACCCTGAATTCCTGGGAATTCCCACCCCGAATTCCTGCCTTAATCCACCCCAAATCCCCTCAGGAATTCCCATCCCAATCCTCCCTTTCCCACCCCGAATTCTCTCAGGAATTGCCGCCCCAATCCACCCCAAATTCCCAGGAATTCCCATCCCAGTCCTCCCTGAATTCTCGGGAATTCCCACCCCACTCCACCCCAAATTCCTGGGAATTCCCATGCCAGTCCTCCCTTTTCCCACCCCAAATTCCCTCAGGAATTCCCGCCACAATCCCCTCTTTTCCTACCCCAAATTCCCAGGAATTCTTGCCCCTTTCCCACTCTGAATCCCCTCAGGAATTCCCGCCCCAATCCACCCTGAATTCCTGGGAATTCCCACCCCAATCCTCTTTTTCCCACCCCGAATTCCCGGAATTCCCGGCAGGAGCGTTCCAAGCGCCTGGAGCTGGAGCTGGAGGAGGAGCGGAGCTCGGCCGAGCCCCAATCCACCCCAAATTCCTGGGAATTCCCATCCCAATCCCCCCCTTTTCCAATCCCGAATTCCCTCAGGAATTCCCACCCCAATCCCCCTTTTCCCACCCTGAATTCCCAGGAATTCCTGCCCCTTTTCCCACCCCGGATTCCCGGAATTCCCACCCCAATCCCCCCTTTTCCCACCCTGAATTCATGGGAATTCTCATCCCAATCCTCCTATTCCTGCCCCAAATTCCTGGGAATTCTCACCCCAATCCACCCCACATTCCTGGGAATTCCTGCCCCTTTTCCCACCCCAAATTCCCTCAGGAATTCCCACCCCAATCCTCCCCAAATTTCCAGGAATTCCCACCCCAATCCACCCCAAAT